TGCTGGGTTCCCCACGGCATGACTCTCATTTATAAATGAGCGGAACGCTTTACATCAGCCCAGGAAAGAGCAGGGGCCTAGCCCAGAGTGGATCTGCATGGTCTGGGGGATCTGAAGTCTGTCTGGGTCACCCCACCCACTGCCGCTGCCCCCATGAAGAGCCCGGGGCACAGGAGGGACCTCACGCGACTCACCATCACAATCTGGGTGCCCGGGCGCAAGGCCATCTGATCCGCCGCCGAGCCCGGGGTGACCCGGTGAATGAAGATGCCTGTGAGGTTCCCGCCGATGACGCCGATCTGCTCCAGCAACGCATCCCCCTGGAACGCCAGCACCGTGACCTGGCTCAGGATCCTGCGGGCTGGCCTCCGCCGCATGAGGACGCCGCTGCAGGCCAGGAGACGACCGGCTTGTGCACTGCCCAGAGTAGGACAGCCGGCAAGGCCACCTCCCCATTGCTTCCCTCTGGCCCCAGTGTTCTGGAATTCTCCTCCCCCTCCATGGCCCCATGTGCTTCACCTCCCAGTGGTGATAGGACACTCACCCTCTGCTCTGCCACCCCCGGCCCTGGTTCCCCAGCCAGCCTCGGAGGGTTCCCCCCTGCTGCTCACCTCTCCGAGACATCAAGGCTTCCAGGTGAGAACGGCTGCAGGCTGCTTTCCAGCTGGGGAAGGTCTGGGAGGAAGCCAAGAGCTCACAGATCTTGGTCACCCCATTGCTGATGGGGCTTCCTGTAACCTCAGCCCCTTCTCCCTCAGCCTCAGGCACCCCCTGCCGGTTCCATCCTCTGTGCTGAGGCTGAACTTTCTCTTCCTCCACCCCTTCCTCAATGCTTGGACGCTGATTTCATCTTTCCTAAAATCACTGTAACTAGTGAGGAGCTGCAACTGGGAAGGTCTGAGCACCACATGCTATTTTGTGATATTTGAATGAGTTGCCAACATTTGAAAGACAGGAAGATTTCACCTAAAATCTGGATTTCTGGCTTCACTTGAAAAAATATCTGCTGCATTTCTGCACTGACCTGTATTTCTGCGTGGACCTGCATTTCAGGACTGGCCTGCATTACTGCACTGACCTCCATGTCTGCATGGACCTGCACTGGCCTGCCTTTCTTTCTTTTTTTTTTTTTGAGACAGAGTCTCGCTCTGTCCCCCAGGCTGGAGAACAGCGGCGTGATCTCGGCTCACTGCAACCTCCACCTCCCGGGTTCAAGCAATTCTTCTGCCTCAGCCTCCTAAGTAGCTGGGACTACAGGCATGCACCACCACACCCGAATAATTTTCGTATTTTTAGTAGAGACAGGATTTCACCATATTGACCAGGCTAGTCTTGAACTCCTGACCTCGTGATCCACCTGCTTTGGCCTCCCAAAGTGCTGGGATTACAGGTGGGAGCCACTGCGCCCAGCCCTGGCCTGCCTTTCTACATGGATCTGCATTTCTTTTGTTGTTGTTAGTGTTGTTGAGACGGAGTCTTGCTCTGTTGCCAGGCTGGAGTGTAGTGGC